TGATAAGAAGCTACAATTCCTGTAAACAAACCAAACCGTTACACCCCTGCATGCAACACTTCCCAGTCAGGCTGACAAAATCACGGGCATGTTATTACCACACTTGCAATCATACTTACATTTCGATTAAATTTCGTGAAGGAATGATGCATATAAAACCTGTGCATGTAAACAATTGCGGTATTTATCGTAAGCTGAGAGCTGAAAGACTAAATTAAGGAAACACTACATACTGAGAGAACTGTTTACAAGATCTGAAGGCGAGGGACTTTCCACATCAATCACTGCTCTCAACATGCTGTCTCCAGCCGAAAATGGATTAAGGACACTTCAGAACTGAACTGATACTAACACACACTCAACCGATATTAACACGGATCCCTCCCATCTGTTCCGCAGACCATGTGGAGATTCCTACAGCAGGCTCGCCACAGTCACCCGCTGAATGGAAACTCATCAATGGGCGACATGCGCTGAAACACCGTCTCAAGTGCTTTTGTTTCGTTCCAAGTCAACTATTTCAGCAGGCGACGTGAGGCTTTAGCCTCGCTCTTTTTAAAATCACATTAAAGGAGGAGGAGATGCCCGTTCCCGGGAAAACATTAAAGGGTCTTTGGACACTAGGTTTTACTTTCTAAGTGCCCAAACCCGCAGCCAAGGACCCCTCCGCGGCTCGCAGGGCCGGAGGGAGCCCCGGGCCCCTCGCCCGCCGACAAAGAGCGCGGCGCGGGGGCCCCGCAGGCTCCTCCTCCCATTCTGTGCCTCAGGCCACGGCTCCTTCCCCCGGGAGCGCCGGCCGGGGGCCGCGGGAGCCCGGGAGGGGTCCCGGGGAAGGCTCCCACCCCGGGGGAAAGGCTGTCCCGCCGCCCGCCCCCGCCCCCGCCGCCCTCAGCGCGTCCCGCCCGGCGCCGCTCGGATACACGTTGAGGCGCTGGCCCATGTCTTGGATGAGGTTGGCCGCCTGCTGCCGGTACGAGAGCTCCTTGTCGGCCTCCACGCCGCAGCGGCGCGAGGGCGTGTTGTCCAGCTGCTCGCGGCTGAAGAACCAGCGCGCCGCGGCCGAGGAGCCGCCACCGCCGCCACCGCCGCCGCCACCACCGCCGCCGCCACCCCGCGCCCCGGCCCCGCAGGGCCCAGCGCCCGCCGCCGCCATCGCCGCCTGCCCGCCCCGCCGCCCCCCGCGCCGCTCTCGCGAGAGCGCCGACACCGCGCGCGCGCCCGCGCGCCCGCCGCCGACCATGGAGCCTCGCGGCGGGGCGGCCGCGCGCCCGCGCGGTCACGTGGCCTGGGGGGGGCGGGGCGGGCTGAGGGGGGCGGTGAGGCCGCGGCTCCTGAGGGTCCCCTGGAGTCACCGAATCACAGAGCCCTTGCAAAACACGGAGCGTGTAACCGTGTTCTCGAGAAAACATCCTTGATCTCTGTACGCTGTGTTGGGTCTGGCTGAGCTGGAGTCCATCCCCCCCGCAGCAGCCCCCGCAGTGCCGGGCTGTGGCAAGGTAACTCCAGCAGGGGAGATCTGTGACCACCAACTCACAGACCCAACAGACCCACCGAGCCAAAAGAAGAGTAAGTCTCAGCATGTGGAGTAATGAGCATAAGAAGAGAGAAAATCATTAACCAGTGAAAGATAGGATATTAATTTATAAGAGAACTATGTAACTTGTAGCCAATGAACACTAGGTCCTTCATTTGCTGAAAATATGAATAGTTTAAAGTCTTGGTAATTGGTGTGCTTGATTTGTGGACACCTCCAGCTTGCACCCTGTGCAGAAGAAACAGCGTCTCCTTTCTAAACTAGACTCTGTGTTTAGAGAGCTTCTAAAATCAGCAACAGTCATGTTATCATAGAATTGTCAAGGATGGAAGAGACCTTTAAGATCATCAAGTCCAACCCTCAGCCCAGCACTGCTGCTGTAACCCTTAAACCACTAAAGCACATCACCCAGGCCAGAGCCAGATCCCTCTTAAAACACCTCCAGGGATGATGTCTCCACCACCTCCTGGGGCAACCTGTTCTAATGCCTGACCACCTGAACACTGAAAAGTTTTTTCAGATATCTAGTCTGAATCTCCCCTGTCTCAGCTTCAGGCCATTTCCTCTGCTTCTCTCACCGTAAGCTTGGCAGAAGAGCCCAAGCCCCACCTCACCACAACCTCCCATCAGGGAGCTGCAATGAGCAATAAAAACCCTGCTGAGCCTCCTACAAGCTAAATACCCCCAGCTCTCCCAGCTGTTCCTCATCAGACGTGTTTTCTGGACCTTTCACGAGCCTTGTTGCCCTATACTGGACTTGCTCCAGCACCTCAGTGTCCTTTCCAAAGTGAGGGGCCCAGCACTGGACACAGGGACACAATGTGTGGCCCCACCAGTGCTGAGTTCAGGGAGACAATCACTGCCCTGGTCCTGCTGGCCAGACTGCCTTTCATACAAGCCAGGATTCCATTGGCCTTCTCAGCCACCTGGGCACACCCTGGCTCATATTCAGCTGCTGTCACCAGGAGCTCCAGGTCCCTTTGTGCCAAGCAGCTCCTCCTCCGGCCTGTACTGGGGCCATGGTGGTGTGAGGCAGCTCCCTCAGCAGGGCAGGAAGGGGAGAAGTTTGGTAATTCAGTGCTAGTAAAAGAGCAATTTGGCTTTGCAGTGGTAATAAACCAGCAGTTTGGCTTTGATCAAACCCCAGGCTCTCTCTCTGGAGGAAGAAGCCTCTGGCACGTCATGGGTCTGTGTATGGCCTGTAGGATAAACACACCTATATAAGCATCTAACTTACACAGGTAATAGTTCTCAGGTGTCAAAAAGGCAGAATTGAAGCTGTCTGGTGATACCTTGTGTATTTCCAGATCAGCAGCTCCAGCAAGTCAATTATTCTCCAACACTTGGAGAAGATGCATGTGCTCGCATTGTAATGAACAGCAACTTGTCCGAATCTCTCCCACGTTACACGTCAGCTGCCTTAAAGAATTAACATCACTTTCTAAACATTGTGCCTATTCCTATTTCACCCTTAAACGATAACATGGTACCAAATGTTACTTTTACACAGATATTGTTAAGCTTCAACCTCATTCCCAGGTGAATCCAGGTCCCCAACCAGTGACAGCGCCTGTTGTAATTTGGAGCTGATCTTTGCCTTCCTATTTTTGTGTCTGTAACAAAGTACAATTTTTTACCTCATTGTTTAAATCACTGCATAAAGCTGTGTTTTGGAGTTTGGGTGTTCAACTTACATTTATTATTCCTTCTTACATTTATTATTCCTTCAGTAGTTGGTGGAGCAGAATTAAGAATGTTCTCATCTGACTGTCATTAGAATTTTACATTAGCTTTGTCAATGAAAAGAAAAGGAAGAGGTAGGGAAGATTTTATATATCCCTCTCTTAAAAATCTTAACACATTGAGAAAAAATAGAATATCATTAAATAGTGACAGTGCATAATGAATATGATTTATGCAGGGTGTGCACATTAATTAACTGCCATGCAGAGTGTTGCAATCACCCATTCAGTCACAGGTTAAGGTAATTAAATACTGTCCTTGCTATTGGAAAAGTTTCAGACCTTGGTCCCCAAAGATGTAACATTTCATTCTTACTTAACTTTTTTCATTCACAAAAAATTGAAGAATTGATCCAATTAAAATGTATTGGAGGAATCACAATGTATTTTACTCTTAAATCCATTTAAACACCTGTGAGAGTCATATACACTGAAGGGAAATAAGATTGTATTGCCTTTCTACTTTGAAATTTAATTAAAACAATCTGATTGAGAAATCATACATTTAAGTAGCTCAATGCTTGTATGTGGCTATTTAAATAAAAAAAGGTCAACAGAAGTCTTGTGAACCTGAGGACAATAAATATTACTAGAGTTATTTTCTAGGTCTTCTTTTTGTCTGACATAAAAACTTGGTTTTCTAAACCTGTGACTTGCTGAGTACTTCAACTTCTGATGTCCACTGGTCTTACATGGAATATATTTGGAGGAACAATAGGGTAAAGATCCAAATGGAAGAGCTCAGCGTTGTGGTTTAACCCCAGAGGGTATCCTCAGCCCCAGCAGCTGCTTGTTCACCCCTGGGGTGGGACAGAGAATGGGAAGGGTGAAAGTGAGAAAACCTGAGGGTTGACACAAAGACAGCTGAACAGGTAAAGCAAAAGCCATGCACACAAGCCAAGCAAACCAAGGAATCCATTCCCCACTCCCCGTGGGCAGGCAGGTGCTCAGCCATCCCCAGGAAATCTGGGCTCCACCTCAGGTGATGGCGACTAGGGAAGAGAAACACCATCACTGCACACATCATCCCCCTTCTGCTCCCCTCAGCACATGCTGAGCACGATGCCATGTGGTCTGGGGTAGCCCTTGGCTCAGCTGGCATCAGCTGTGGCAGCTGTGTCCCCTCCCAGCTCCCTGTGCACCCCTAGGCCCCTGGCTGGTGGGCTGAGGAGCAGAAAAAGCCTTGGCTCTGTGTAATCTCTGCTCAAGGAAAACATAAAGAACCTGCACAAACCCCTCTTTTTTTTTTTTTTTTTTTTTTTTGGTGGGTTTGACACTAAAGAAGGACAGAGCCTTCCTTGTAGTCCAACAGAAGGTATCAGCAGGAACTGCTGATGTTCAGCATCCTTCAGGTTCAGCTGGTGCCAGTTATGGCCAGAGCTAAAAACAACTGCTGTCTAATACTGTTTTGCCTGGAGTGTTCTAAAGCCTAAACAGAAGAATGGTGACACTACAAGTAGCCAGCAAATGTTCCCATGAGAACAAAGACTGTAAGTGCTCATCCACATTTTTCTGTGTGGTATAAAATCCTCTTGGGAGGAGGATGCCTGTGCACTCACTGGAAAATAATGAAAACCCATTTCAATCAATGGGCTATAGAGCAAGCCATCTTTCCATTCCTATATCAGGACTCAAACTAGTTAGAGCAATAACACTTCACCACTTAAAGTATCCAACCTTACTTTCAGGAAGTATTTTTTAAGGAATAGAACATTCAACCATACTGTTGCTAAACACTAGTATTTATTGTGACAGTGACATATCATGTATTACCCACACAAAATACGTTATTTCTGCACCTACAACCGTATTGTCCAAACTGTTTCTGGTGAGTAAGTTGCCAGTGGTGTAGGTGGCAGCTAAAATGTAAAGTTCCCCACACAGACCTTTTTTCATCCTGTCACAACACTGACAAAGCATCAGTGCACACCCTTGCAGTGCTGAGCTGAGCATGGCATGATGCACTTCCCAGCAGTGGGTACAGGCAAGTGTTGCCTTTTACTGGGCATCAACAAAGTTCTGCTTGAATTCTGTTTTAAGATTCTTTCAAACTCCGTTTATTGCTCATAACAAAGACCGAAATGTCATGGGTATATAATTTTCTCAGCTCTTTCTTTCCTGAGAATCAAGTCCTAATACCATGACATGGATCATAATTCAGAGATTCTCATTACAACTGCAAAAGGTGATATCTCTCCTTTATTATGAGAGCAGGGATTTCAGAATTGTTTAAAAAGAGCCTAAATCCTCAAATGCACAGCAATACCTGTGCATACTCATTTCCAGTACCCTTGCTTTTATTTTGGAAATAACAGGAGAGTGTTAGATACTTGCCACCTGCACAATTTCATATGCCAACAGAAGCATCCACAGTTGAGCCTCTTTAGGATCTTCATAATTATTCAAATTGTTTTCTGCTAAGACCCAAAAATTCCAGAGCATTTCCAGCCTTGAGTTTATCCTGTAAAAACAAAACACATATATGTGCTTGTGCTTAACTCATATTTAACTCAAATGCTTTTCCTTGTGCTTTAAAAGGAACTGCTGCAAGGAGACTAAAGGGCCTCTTCCATCACTGCAGAAATCAGTGTACTACACTGAGTTTGCAGTGTTCCACCTCAAGTTTTAAACCATAGAGGGAAGAACCCCCTCTAATGTAAAAAAATCATACCTTCAGTTTATGGTCAAAATCGTCCATGGAATCGATCAATTTTCCAGGTTCCAGTTCCCCAAGTGGGAAAGGGTAATCTGTCCCCAACATGACTTTGTCCTGGTAGTAAAAGAAGTTGAACACTTTGTAGAAGCATTGAACAATAGAGTTGCCTTCTGGAATTTATAATAAACCACAGGAAATGACATGTATGTATTGGACTGATTAGTTATGAAAGCGAATATAAAGATAATAACTTCCATTAGGGGAAGAACAAAGCTTGAAAACGACTCGAGAGTTTATTGGGTGAATTTAAGTTTGAAAAAATTGCAGGTTACTTGTTAATAATTTTTGTGGTGTCTAAGTGAAGTTTGGGGTGTTTTTATTCTGACACACAGGAAGTTCAAAAGCCAATTCCAGGCCCATGGCACGACTGTCTGTTCCTCGGGTGAATAAAAGACAAATAGGAATTTCCTACTCAAACTGATTTTCTGTGCTGTGAGTCTGGTTCAAAATGTAACAAAGAGGCATCTGTTGTTCTCCTGCACTGCTCATACTCCTGCTGCAAGCAGTTTGCCCAAAATGCAATGATTAATTTTGGTTTTAAGGGTTGCCATAATTAAATAGCTAATAAAGGACACACAGAGTTTTCCCTTCTGATTTTTGACTTACTCACTGTGTGCTCTGTGCTGTTGTGTGCAGTGCAAAATGTGTACGAGACTTTTTGACACATTTCTTTAAGAATCTCAGGAAGTTCTCCATCAAACTCAGAAAATATGCTTGGATTTGTATTCCTGAATTCAAAATTTTTGTCTACATACACACAGACACACATAAACTTAAAATTACATATATATGAGAAGAACATGCAACAAGAAATACAGAGCAATCAAAATTACCTTTTGTGTGATACCTTAAAAGTTGCCATAGTGGCAAAGTGACATTATCTTAAAGTATGATACAATGTAGAATTACTACAAACACTGACACTAAATGAGTACTTTATTTATTTTAACTGGCGTTCAGCTTCAGGTAACAAAACCTAAATCCCATTTACAAAATTTCCTCTATCACTGGGAGTCTGTAACGTTTTTCAAATGTCAGTGTCTTTGACTGGGACTGGATATGAACTGTGCATTTGAAACGTGTACCTGAGAGCATGAGTGACATGATATGATTTGTTTCTGAAAGAGAGTCTATGAAAAGAAAATCCAATAAAAATCTGTGTGCAGCGTTCCTGTTGTCAGAGATGAAAAGAAATAGGCACATCCTTGACAGGGCCACATTCCCATGGGCTCACTTTCCCCCTGGAGTGATATTTGCCCATTTTCTCTGCTTTGGGGAGTGCATGCTGCCAACTCTCCTGATTTTAGTAAAAGTCTGTTTTGCTTTTAGTTTCATCTCCTGAAGACACAAATATTTGAAAACCCCAGTTTTCATTAAAAATAGATGTTTTGAAATGTGTCATGAATTTGAAGTCAAGCTGATAAATTTGGGACACTTTGTTACAATGTTTGAACTCTGTTACCAATAATGACATATGGTGAAGAAAACATCATTCAGTTAATTTTTGAAATGCTTTGTTTTTCCTAGCTGCCAAATGCTTTTTTTTTTTTTTCTTCTTAATTTTTAACTTCCAGTAGATGTCAGCCAAGAGTCTCTGGAAGAACCAGCACAAACCTTTACCCAAAATCCAACCAGAAGAGACACATTCTATTGTTCTGTCCTATATTGATGTGTTATAATTTATTATGGAAGATCTGCTATAAGATTAATATGGGAAGAATTTATACCCCCTGTCTAATAAATCAATTTCTGAGTGTAGATGAAACAAAACGTATTTAGAGTATGTACTTTTAAGCATCTAAATATATTCTTTTATTTATAATATTCAATTAAATACCAAGACATTTGATTCAGACAGGAAAAAAAATATATAGCATCTACAAAGCCCCCCAGCTAATAAACGTACCAGGTTTACATGAGAAAATGGATTTCTAAGTATAATAATAATAATGGCCAGTCTTCACGAGCGAAGATCCGGGGAAGGTTTTTACACCTTCCAGCCTGCGCATTGGATTTTTTAGGTGAGACACAGTGTGCGCGGAACTGAGCCCACCCTTTAATCCTAAGGTTCATCTGCCGGGGCCAAGCGAGCTTGGACGGTGGCAGCGAGGTCCTTAGGACGTAGGTGGGTTGCCTTTAAGGGCTAACGAGCCCCACCTGCCCGGGAGTGGCCCTGACCGGGAATCGAACCCGGGTCTCCGCGGTGATAGCGCGGCGCCTTTACCCCTAAGTAAAGAAGAAGGAAATGCAGAATTTGCCCAGTTATTTACTAGGCAAGGCTAAGTAAGGCGGGAAGGTTTGGACATCCTTGTTTACACCTCCTATATACAAACTCAGAAAGAAATCCCACGATCTCATTGGAATAATATACATTTTTCTTTTCCTCTATAAATAGATACATTTTTCTTTTCCTCTCTATATAGATATGTTTTTCTTTTCCTCCATTTGAAAGTGTTTGATTCATAAACCTCAGTGGACTCTTTTACTCCACTGAACTTTTTCTTCACAGTAATAGGGACCTGAGTCTGAAAATGAACCTCCAAGTTGGTTCACCTTAAGCATGAGTTTGCCCTCTTGTATTAGTAAAAATTGCCTTGAATCTCACCTTCTTTCCCACTATCAGAATACATCTCAAAAAAAAGGCCAGATTACTACAACCAGTTCAGCTCCAACCTCTGGCCAGAGAATGTTTTGCCTTTGGGCGATGGCTCTTGAGGAAATCAGCATGGGGAAGTTTTTGCAGGGCTACACTGAATCATTTAATCCCATGTCAAGCCAGCTCTTCCCTTTTCATGGCCAGCATCATCAGGGATTTTGTGTTTATTCGTGTTCACCTCACGCCACCTCATCACGGGGGGAGCGAAGGACAGCGGCAATTTTGCAGCCTCACAAAACTCCCAGAAATGTGTATTTCTGCTTCCTTTAGCCGGGATGGGCTCCAATTAACCTGCACCCAAAAGGAGGAAGGGATGAACTTCACTGTACATGACTCACCACAGCTGTCACTGGGTTTTAACATTCATCAGCTCAAAGCATTCTGGTGCCAGGTAGTGGCTGTTCCCTGAGGACCCAGAGCCGTGTTCAAGCACGTCTCCTTCCTGCACAGCTCTCAGCCATCCTCTGGAGAGCTGTCCTATTTCAAACCTTCGGCTCACAAAGTTACAGTGTCATCCTCAAGACTCAATCACATTGGTTTTTAGCCCAGAATTTATTAATCTTACATGTGTTATCCTGCCAACACACGGCTGCACTGAAAGCACTGAGATATTTGGTTGTGTCTTTAAGCGTTTGACTCATGGAAGGGTATTATGTGAGAATATCAACTTTCATTAGAAAAACAGGGAACTTTTTAATCTTCATGGTTTTAAAGTAAAGTTTGAAAACGTGAGTAAATGTTTGGGGTTTTTTTTCAAGGATAAGATGCTCGAGGCTATGAAAAAGAGAAAGTTCTCCTGAGTGTTGAAAAGCATTCATGTTTTGTGTATCTGACTCATAACTTTCCAGCACTAGTGTTCCACCTGATGTCTCATTGCTTGAGCTCAGAATACTCAGAGTAGAATTAAAGAGGACACCAACATTCTGTGTAGAATGTTGGCCCAATTTTTTGCATTAGGAAACTTAATTTCAGAAGGCTGTTGACAAAATAAACAAGACACCAGAGAGGTTAATGCTGAATGACTTTTAGATTATCAAATTACAATCTGTAATCTCTCTCTCCTCAAAGAACTAGATTTCAGTTTCGAAGACTGATCATGATTAAGGGCCAGAGTCTGTGTGAAGCTTCTTGGGATGAAAGGTAGGAAAACTGAAGTGTGGTGCGAAGACTGCAGCTTTCCCACAACGATCATAGTTTAGAGCAGCCTCGAGATGCAAAGCTGACTCTGAAGCAGAACTGCTGTGAGACCTGCAGAGCTACTCAAGTTCAAGCAGAAAAGAGTTAAATTCGTCAGCAATGGATTAAGCATCCTGTTGTACTTTCTCTCCTGCTTTGCTCTTGACATCCAGGGGTCAGCTTAACAGATTCGGCTCAGAAACAAAACCTGTGAGTCTGAGCCATGCTGAGTCACACAGCTACTGATTTACCAAGGTCTGTGGAACAATGGGAAAACATGGCTCCCAACATTTTAACGTGGATAAAAGAGATAAGCCAGTGATCTTTTCTCCTTGCACTGGCAATGTAAAATTCAAGAGCTGCACTCATCCCTGTGTACCACAACTGCATGTAGAACAAATATTTGGAGGAACGTGGTCTGGATTTGGGGGATTTCTCAGAAAAGGAAGAACAGAGACAAGTGCTGAACTGTCACTCCATAAGCCTTTGGGTATCTTGTAAAATGGATGTGCACAATCACACCCAGTAAAATTTTTAAATCTATCACCAGAACACCTTCAGGCCACTTGATTACTCTGAGCTACACTTAAATTAAGAAGCTAATGCATAGCAAGAAGTCCTGGGCTGTTGACCATGATATATTTGCTCTTTAGAGGTTTGTAATAGAAATTACAAGAAATCAGTATTGGGCCCTAATATCTTGTTAGTGACCCATCTGGAGCCCAAAACTTCACCTCTGACACAGAGATGGCAAATGCCACCCGAGTTAATACCCACTGATGTCACAGGAACTTTCCAATACTAACAGCTTATTAGCAGATCTTTTGTCAAGGAAACTGACCTGGGTTACTTGTTTCCAGTGGTAGTAGGCTCCATGGTAGTTTCTTTGCACGTTTTTTGGGGCTCCTTCAATAAATCTATTTTTGGCTCATGGTGGATTTAAGAAAAAAGATGTTGTGACTCCTCTACTTCATATGCATACGTACATATACACCTCACAAAAACTTCCTGTAGTGTTGTTTCAAGCTGCAATTTTGCTGCCACATTGTGGAGTTTTTCATGGATCTTCAAATGCAAAGCTCTCCTGAAAGTCACAAGTACCGCAGGGTAGCTGGAGGCAGAATTCCAGTTTCAAAGCTACAGATTTCCTGTGCAGCATGAAGAGAAAACCCCTGGATTGCAAAGTGTGAGCTCTGGATTTCATGGATTGAAACCCATGGATTTCAAACCTGAGCTCAGAGTACCACAATAAAGAAGGCAATAGTGCTGCATTATTAACTGTGGCTGGCCTAGGCAGGTCACTTCTGTAGCAGTTCTAGTGCAGATTTACTGCAGTGACCCGGTCAGCCTGTTAGAGATGGAAATGGGAAATCAACAGAATCTTTTCTGTAGAAAGAAAACATTTGGCTGAGTGGTCTTTGTGAGGTTTGGTCATGCAAGAGACCCTAATGACAGCAACAGCCCTTTACTGTGTGAGCCTAGAAAATAATGTACAGGAACCAGGACTACAGCTGTTGAGACAAGAAAGTCAATGTAAGGGCCTGTATTTCTGCTTTTGACATCTGCTGGGTGCCTGCCTGCTGGCTGCAGAAACTCCAGGAGCTCCAGAGATCAAGCCACAAATACAGGTTGATTTGTAGTGATCCATTGGAAGTTGGCTATGATGCCATCTTCAATCCCTTCCTGAGCATTTACTAATGAGAAAGGATTATTTGAATGTTTTTGGATGTTTCTGTCCCATGCTGATTTAAAAAAGTTGCTGAACTACAAAGATTTCTTCACAAATAATGAAAATATTTTTGCAAACCCGTGATGTTTAATGTTCTCTTCAGGATCCTCACCCTCTTCTGGAAGCATTAACACTCACCTCTCCTATGACACTTGTTAGCAGCCTTAGTGCACCTGGGTCATGGACAAGAGAGTCTGTGTAAAACGAGCCAAGGTATTTCCTTGGATCCACCTTGTTATCCATCGCGCACAAGTCAGGGCGCACGTTGAATCCATGGGAGATTCTCCCCACTGTGTATGGAAAAGCTCCACCTGCAAGAAGAAATTTTCAACAACAGCAGCTGAAAATAACGTAGGAGGAAGAAAAAAAGCCACATTATCACCAAAGACCCACAAGTTTTACTGTCAGCCGTTTAGAAAGTGCTCTGCACCAGCAGTTTTTTATTCCTTCCCCTTCATTAACTTCTTTTTCTATTGCCCTCACTTCTTCACTACTGTGATGTCCAAATTCCTCCTGCTGCTTCTTTGTCCCTTTCCTTAAATCATCCTCTGTCTCCCTTTCCTCCTTGTTTCCCTGACAGGGTATTTTAGCAGTTCAAACACTGGTTGAAACAGTCTGGACAGTGTTCATACAAGCAGCTGATCCTGCAGATCTGGGGTAATAGTGCTCAGCTGGTGCCAGCCTTAAAGTGCTTGAACCCTTGATCCTTAGCTGGGAATCTCAGAAAACACCGCTGTAACACGCTTAGCTGAAGAACTGGAGTTTCACATGCTGCATTACTCACCTCCATGTGCAAAGCAAACTTTCAGCTTAGGAAATTTTTCAAAAATTCCTCCCATAATCATGGAGCAAATGGCCATGGTTGTTTCTGTTGGCATGCCTGGGAACAAAACTCAGTTGTGTAAGAGTTTTACTTTTTCAACGTCCTCTTTGATTTTTGAATGTTATCTGAATTTTCTTCCATTAGCCTTAAGCCTTAAGGCCTCAGGTTCTGAGCTTACCCAGCATATTTAGAACATCATGCCATCTAAACATCGAACTTCAGACATCCAGCTTCAAGTTAGGAACAGAGTTCCCCTCATCTCTGGGGCAAACAATACCCACCCAGCTCGAAAGGTTGGTTTTCATTAATGTTTTACTGTATGCTCAGATGCAAAGCCTTGTAAGTCTTTGTAAGAAAATATTTTATTTATACTTTGTTAAGTAAATGCCATAATTTTATTCTCTTTTTAAGTCTGTGTTGTTGAGCCCTCTCTCATTAACACTATATATATATATATATACTATGTTATGTTGCAAAGCTGAATAATTTTAATTCTAAGGATTTAAAAGTTAGACAAACTGAACAAGCTTAAAACCAAACGACTGCTGAATTTACACAATAGACTTCATCATACTACCTGATTAAAAAAAAGGTTTGATAGAAAATCCATTTTTTTTCCGTACTAGTACTTTACTTTGCAACAATCTGCTGAGCATAATCCAGTTCATAAATTTAGGCTAAGCAAAGTAAATATACACTTACCTATTAGCCAGGGAAACCAATATTTGGACATCCTCCCATCTATCTGCATGTCCCAGGGATGCACAAAGAGACAGCAATTCAATTTTTCAGCAGCCTGCAGCAAAATAAAAAATCTAAATCTTGACTAATTATACCAAAATGCATCCTTTTTTCTTAGTCGTGTTTTAAAATTACCTGCAAAACTGTACTGAGCAGTAGTACTGCTATGAAAATAAGTCCACCAGTAAGAACTAGAAGTAATAGTTGCTTATATTTTGTCCTCTGGCCCATAATCTGAAGTCCTTACTCAGTTTCAAAGTTCTTTCTGTGACCACAAATTGGAAATATAGATGATAATATCTTTTTAGTAAGCCAAACGTTCCTCAGATTAATGCAGGACAAAAATGCTTTTCCAGCCATGTTTTTCAGCCATTCTGCAGTAAAAAACTCAGTTCAAGCAAAAATCCTTTGGTTTCTTTATATATATGAGGATGAATTCTCATAATGTTTTATGGAACCATTTTAGGATGGTTTTGCATCCTAAACCATTTTAGAATTGTTCCAGCTGTATTCAGGAATTTTCATGTGAGTTGCACTCCATTTGTCCCCTTTGGCTTTCTGCCTGGCTTTAAAAAAAGTTAAAAATATTTCTAATCTCTCCTAAGAGTTCAAAATATGGCTGTATTCTGATCAGGAATCCATTTCCATGCAAGTATAATAATTTTTCCAAAATTATTGACATCTTAGGAAAGGAAAACAGAAGAGCAATGACAGATGCTGACCCTGACTGAGTAATTTAACTATTTGCTTAAATTTAAATACATAATCATCAGAGTCATTCATATGCTTAACCAGGATTTAACAGCTTCGTTTTCTCAGATGTATTTCTGGACCTCCTCTTGTTGCTAAGGAGATTATCACACATTTGAAAAAAACTGGTTTTGTTTACCCATACATGCATAAATAAAGCTGCAACTTTTGGGCTGTGGGGAGTAATTGCCATCTACATTTGTAAACTAAAAACAGGGATTCAATTACTGTCTTGGTAGACTGACAGAGTTCACCGTCAAATATGGCTTAATTTCCCAATCTGTATTACCCAGGGATGTTTCTAAAAATGATGGAGGTTGCTTCCTACATGTGTGAAACATAAGCTGAAGAATGTGCAGTGTAAGACAGAGATCCCAGTGCATGAGGGGGATCTCAGCACCAGACATGGAGTTACTGGAGGGAGTCCTGAGATGATGAGGGGACCGAGCATCTCTCCTGGAAGGAAGTGCTGAACAGGGGGCTGGACCAGATGGCCTCCAGAGGCCCCTCCCAGCATCAGCCATGCTAAAATTCCATCAATGTGGGCATCTGCCTCTGATAACTGACTGTGTATGTCCATAAAAACAAACAGTCCAGGTGCTGCACTAACAGAATTCTTGGATAAACTGAGCAATCTGAAATATAACCTCTGTGCCTCAGTGTGGAGCAGACAGCTCCAATAACTCGTGAAGCACATGCAGAATGTACATTGATTAGGTCTGTAATTTAGACAAATGACCACCCTCATCTGGACCTCAGGCTATTTATGAAATTCAACCTAAAAATTTGTTTTATAATCAATGCATTGTTTGGAACCTTTGGTCCTATTTACATAATTCCATGTGGTATTTTGGCTCTATAGGTATCTCTGATCATCTCTCACAGGGGGTTTATCAATTATTTGCATAAGATTGGATACAGTAACTTGAACTCAAATGCAAACAGTGCAGAAATGCTTTATTTAATACTGCACTTATCCTCACAAACCAAGATGGCAACTCTACAGTGAGAAGTCATATAATAAAAAAAATTGTTACTCATTATTATAAAAGGTTTCATGTTGTATTACTGTAATTATATCCTATAATGAATGACCATATACAATTAAAGCTGAGTATCTCTCTAATCTAAGCAGATTAGAAGGCTCAAACCCCAACTGAATGTGCTCCAAGACATTTTTAGACAGAATTCCCCCCAAAGAAGGGAAGAAACGGTTACTCACAGCATAAACATCGTACAGCTCTGGGGCATTCAGGTCCCACTGGTTGACATGAGATCCTATCTGCACTCCAGGAAATCCCAGTTCCCTCACACAGCGATGCATTTCCTTCACAGCCAGCTCTGGGGCTTGCAGGGGTAACGTGCCCAGCCCCACAAACCTCTTGGGGTACTTCTTCACTGTAGCAGCCAAGTCATTGTTTAACATCTGGGCTAGGTCTAAAGCGTCCTGAGGTTTGGCCTGGGAAGATATTAAGCAGAGCAGTACATTAAAATATAGTTCTCAAATGTTATCACCTTTGGAAGATATTGGATAAATGTCACTGCAAACAACTGAGGGACAGGGCTTGAGCCTGAATTTGCTTTGCAGTTCTGAATAGCTGGAAACCTGCAGGACTAAATTCTGCCTCACTTTAAAACCTCTGGGTGCAGTTCTGCTTCTTGTCTTGAATATTTTATCAACTGCTGCTGCCTTTGCTGCTCAGGAGGAGTGTAATAAAGCCCAGGTTGCTGATGCATTTAAGTATCTGCTCTTTTGTGTAAACCAGTCCCCTGTTCCTGTTTATCCCAATGCAAAAACCTCAGTGTATAATTTTTAAACATAGCAATGAATATTTGCTCTCCTATTACTGGAGCTGAAGAAATAAAAATAAGAAATGTGAGATGCTGCAGCATGAGAATTCCAGAGAGGAAACTTGAGCAAACTTCTGTAACATTTGGAAGGAGATAACGGTCATAATTCCAATAAGGGAAGTGCAATATCCATCCAGTCAATCTCCATTTTTCCCCCCAATAAGTATTTAATGGAAGATATTCCCTTAGACACCAGAGTAAAGTTTAAAGAGATGTTGCTCAACAAGAAATTCTGAAAATTGGTGGTACTGCTTATATGTGGGCTTAACACAATGGCTTTAATGTAACATATCTGTTTACAGATAACATCTTGACTTGTACACATCACTAAATAGTCAAATTGAGAATGTATTTAAACAGCATTTTGCTATGATTTATCTTCTCAGCCTGTTTTTATTTCTTTGAGGCATTAAGGATCACCATGAAGGGAGCATATTAACTTGAATTTGCTACTGAATTTTAAGATTCAAATATTCTAGGTCACTGAGCCCTGTGCCACATTTAAAAGAAAGTGGGACAAGACCATAAATATACCTTTATTATATTTGTGGTTTTTTTCCAAGAGAAAATACTGTTTGATGTCTAACTTTCATGGAATCTGTACATATGTGTCCACCTGCTAAGCACAGATTCATGTAGTGTAAATTCTTTCTCCCCATTCCCAGCTGCCCCCATAAAGAAGAGGTCCAGTTGTTGTCTCCTCCTGTCCCACCGTGTGTGCTCTGGGGTGGAGCTCTGCCAGGACACCCTGCTGGCTCTTCTGAGACCTGCACTGCTTTTGCCTGTTCTTCCTCACAGCAGAACAATTCTCTGATTATTTCAGTGATCTAGTGACTACTTCAGTCACCTCATTTATGATGCACTTACATTTTAAAAGTTTTACTACACACTAATTACAAAATATGGCAGTAGGAACTTACCCAGTAGCTGAACATAACAGGGACTGTGGAAAGGGCTTGGACTGTGACTCCTGAATAAGACAAAGCAGTTATTAATGTTTCTTCTTTTTAATTTGTTTGTTTGTGATAAAAATAAGAAAGCATTTTGTTTTGAGAGGCAGAAGGTAAAAGTTTTAATGATAAGAAACACTGACTTAAGTGACACAGATAGATTTTTTTTTTTAAATTATGGGTCATGGTAATAAATCTTGTAACTTACCAGTTTATTTAGATTTGAACATATTTGATAAGTAGAAAGAAAAAGAACACTTTCCTACTCAAACTAGATTATTCGTGAAATTAAGTATTTTGATTTTAGAAGTATTTAGTAGGCACATGTACAATCAATTAAAACAGCAATTCAGTGTTACTCTCACATAAATGAATGTGACACTAAACCAATAGAATGCCATAAGTTAAGTTTACTTTGGGGTCACATTTGTCATATATATTTAATAAATAAATAAGTGCATTTGCTCAAAGATTAAAAACATTATGTCACTAATGGTTGGTAAACAATGTTTACCCAAGTGTTCCCCAAAACTATACTGTGTTAGGTTTCATTCATTCTGGGTACTGAGGTTGTAAGTATAAGAAGATCTGCCTGTTTTCAGAAATAACTTTGATGTTTGCAATGAAGAGAATGAAGTCCACGTTGTTTTGTTCCTGTTCAAACACAAATCTACACCATAACTTTGTGTGTGACAGATGACAGGAATGAAAGCAACAACCCTAGCAGACAAACAACAAAAGAAACAATGGCTAATAATTAGGAGTTCACTAAATATTTACAAGCAAAACTTTTTGGTTTTGTTTTTGTTTTATATTTTAAGTCTGATTATAATATTTCTGCACTTTCCTCTGAGACAATGACCTTGCCAAATCACTCCAGTGTTTAACAAAACGATTCTCAGCAGTTAAGCAGGACACTGGCTCAGGTTCTTCAAGATCTGATTAACATTATGTACAGCAGCAATGGTTTGGGTAAGGACTAGGTCTGCAAAACTACATATTTACCAAAGTATAGCCTAAATTGTGTTATCCACCAGAATGGACACTTGATTGGTATGTTTGAGAACATCCACCGTGTTTTCCACAATGAATGCTGTATCTGGTTTCAATCCTTTTTTACACTTCTGAGCAAATTTAACATAAACCCTAAAGGCAGATTTCCAAGCTGAACGTTCCTAGAGAGTGGTTTTAGGAAGAATTAGAATCAGCACAGAAAAACCTCTACTTTATACCCTCCTCAGAGGATTTTACAAAGGAGAAAATAACAAGAAAAGGCAGTTAGAATGAACTGATATATTTTCTCCAACAAAACTGTGATGATTTGTGTCGCAGAACTGTGATGTTAATTATCTTTACAGCTTGTTTTATTGAATTACCTGGATAGCTTGTTTTATTGAGTGGACCAAGACAGAGGTGTGTACACCAATTAGACCCAGGACATATCATTATGAGAACTAATTGAGTCTCTTTGGTCCATTGGATACCATTTCTTATTACTGGAAAGATTTCTTGGGCAATGCACAAAGAAAGCCTTTTAGCAACCAAGCTCAAAGTTATTTCTCTGAGTTAATAATACCTTTTAGTGACTGATTCTAGTTTTGTTCAGCTGGGAGACTCCTTGCATCTTTGTCCCAAAATTATGCCATGTTTGGAGGTTAAATTTTGGGTATACTCTATCTCAGCCTGTGTTACAGAAAATGCTCCTTAAACTGAGTAGCTACAACTTTCTAAACCAAAAAGGAGTAAATGTGGCCCATAGTTCTTATCATTAGTTAAGCAGTAAGAATGAAAAACACCAAGGCCTTTTTTTTGTCCCTCTGAATTGGCTGACGCCTGTGTTCTCTGGAGTGTTGTAATAAAGGGGGAGGTTTTTAGGGCACAAGTCACCAGATGGTGCTGTAACACACAGGTTTAGATTTTTTTTTTTTTTTTTTTAACCAAGCAAGCACTGTTCAGTTTGAGGAGAAATATTGGGGTGTTGGTTTTATGATATATTTTCTATTCTGGAGAGCTGTTGCAGATATTTGAAAAAAAAAAAAAAAAAAGCTCCTGTGTTTTCCCTTTGCCTACAGCAAAAAATGGGGCAGGACTGTTTTGTAGAAACCTGCCTTTAGTGTTGAGGGAAACATCTGAAAGGGAAAGATGCCCTAAGGCTATTTGTGATCCACACTGTAGTTGAGTGATTTGGCAATCCCCAAAATCCCTGAGCTAGCTCAGAGAAAGATTATAGTCTAGCCAAGGCATGATTCTAGGATTCTGGGATAAGGCAGCATATTTCAGAGTATGCAAAGACATTTGGGCATTCCCATTAAATGTCTAATGGTTGCAGCTCGGAATACTTTTCCAGGGTGAAAATGAAGTAATGGAAAAATTATCTAAATTATGATTACTTAAAGTGTCCCATAGCCCTTGAGTTCCCAAACTGGCCTGTGTTATGTGTTACAGGAAACCTCCACCAGGAGAACAATCCAGAGCATCTCCTAACACAGAATCACAGAATCATTTAGGTTGGAAAAGACCTCTGAGATCAAAAAGTTGAAGAAGATATTCAGGTTGTGTCTACTGGGAAACTGATGTAGTAATTATTCAGGTCCCAGTCTTAGGAAAAAATGATCCTTAGTAACATATTTCTGTCACAGAAGGAATTTGAAATTGCAGTGTGAACTGATCAGACTCTAAGTTCCTTCCCTCCTTCTCAGTCTCCCATCTCACATACTTTAGTGTCATGCATGCAACTTGATGAAAAGCAAATTTGGAAACAAACATACAAGAAATTCTATGAGTAAAAAGAATATTTTTAACATTTGGAACAAAAATTAAATGGCTTCCTCCTTTATGTGAATTAGTTCTATATCTGGAATGTTTGTTGCCTTTTTAAGTCCACGATCAGTCATCCTTACTCGTGTCAGTTAGCTCTTTACTGACTTAAAATCCCACCAAAATAAAAGAGTTCCTGTGGGGAATAAATTGCTAATGAAAATGAGGAAAGTTATGGGAACATGTCCCATCTGAACATAAAGCATAGCAGTTTTCACTGACTTCCAACAGATTTAAACTAATGAATCAATATGCTAACCCTGTTAATTTTCCCATTGTTATTTCCCATTGCACTTTCAGATGAACTTCAGAGAAGTTGCAGTTATTTCAAATGAGACACAATGATTTCAATTCCTTCATGGAGGAAGGTACCTGACAGGTCCATCTCTTTAATCCGTACTTCTGGATCCCAGCAGTTCTCTTGAATGACTCTAAAAACCTTCCCATCCTTCATCATCTTTGCCTGTCCCTGTGAAATGACATTTTCATATATTATGAATGTGACAAAGCAGTGCATGCTAATTTATAGTTGCTGGAGTATATTGTGCTGCCTACAGAAATCCAGTGACAAAATATTGTTCTTTTATTTTTATGCAGTAGGTGTTTTAGAACAACTGTTTTTAAAATAGACATTAACAAAACAGTCATTTATAGTTTAGATTTAATTCTTCATAATTACAAAAAAAATCCCCCTTCTTTTGCAATGTAAATCCCCCTTCTTTTGCAATGCATATCACTCCACATTTATTTGGAAAAGGTATCAGGTACCTTAATCCAAGTTTATCCTCAAACCAAATTCTGACCTCAAAACAGTGCTCTAATTAAATCTGTGCTAAATTTTCCCCTTGGGTGTGTGTGTGTTCTCTTAAAGTCAATAGCATCACAATGATTCCAGTAACTACAGAAATAACTGTACAGCTCAGTTACTTTCAGTCCAGTTGTTTCATATCACCACTGATAATGAGAGAAAGGCAGACCTGTTATGTTGTCTTCAGATTATGTTTTCTCCTTGGGGAAAAAAAAAGAATTATTGAAGAATTTGTATTGGGGGAAAAAAACCCTGAGAAAACTTTATCACAGCATAAACCCATGACCTCAGTTAGTGTAATCTCTCCCATATGGCACCAATTCCTAAATGTATGAAGTTCAAGATATTATCACAGTCATGAAATTTAATACTGTTCCTTTACGAACATGGAAACCTTTTAAACTTCTTTTTTTTTTTTTTTGGTTGATTTGTGAATTGTTTAAAGGAGTTGAGGAGGGACAGCGCCACCACGTTAGGCAAAGTAAATTGTCTGGTAAATTGGAGGTACCCACGTGCTGTTTTGAACATGGGCAGAGCAGATTCCTGCTGGTTGATACTTGCACAAGCGGAGGGGACACACGACGCTTGCAGGCCCTGAGTATTTCCCGGCTGTTTGAAGCTACTGTGGGGAGAAGTGGGAAGGGGATGAAAGCCAGAAGATCCACCTGACCCTGTGCATTTGGGGTGGGTGAGTGAGGTCATGCAGCAGATGCACTGGACAGAGAAACACTCCCCATCTGCAGTTAAAAACTGAAGACCATGTGAGAAAACGCGGCAGCTCCTCCTCCCCCTTGGCAGGGAACAGCTCCTGCAAGGCAGGCTCTGACCCTTCAAGAAAGGGAATTCTCTCTCTCCAAAGGTCACTTTATTTGTCCTCACAAAGTCGGTGTTTTTCAGCACTCTGTCTATTTTTCTAAAGAAAAAAACCCTGTTAAATCAGAATATTTGCTCCTAGTACACCCAACCAGAGGGATTCCTGTCCCCTTCTGAGAAGTTGGGCTGTTCTCAACCTTGAATTTGTTATTAACTTCATACATCATTCACAGATACACTGCCCTAATGAGTATTTCAAAGCTCTCCTCAAAAAACCTAACTGTGCTGCCCTGGCAAACTATAAAGTTACTTGTTAGTTGTATCACGGGCTATGAAAATTACTTGAAATATTATAACTGCAAAGTCCTGATTCTCTGGTAAAATACTTCTGGGTCTCGTAAAATTGATTTTCCAACCTGACAGAAAGGTTTACTCCAGCCATGCACTCCAATACATTAAGAAAAGTTCAGTGCATTGCTGCAGGTTGTTTAATAAACAAAAAATATTTGGGTTGTGAGAAAAAGGCAGAACCAAGCACTCCATCACACATGAATAGATTGCACGGATTTTACTATTCTCTTCTATTCTACACTACTCTACTCTTTCCCATTCTAAACATTATCTGATGTTTAATGCTTTAATTAATTTATGTGGAGATTTCAGAACTAGGTCCAGCAGTATGATTTGGTTCAGCAAACTACATCTGAACATTGCTGAACTACTCAGTCACATCCCAAATTGCTCTTCTTTAAACATACACGTGATTATTTTCTTCCAGTTTGACTCTGCTGCTTCTTCACAGAATAATATGAGAAGCCTTTTTTTTTTTAATACTAAGAATTAAAGAAAATTATTAAATTACCCCAGTTTTACATATCTGAACAGGATTTTATTTTGCCATGCCCTGCTTTTCATGCAAAATTCTCAGACAGAAGTAGGCTGGACAGAATTCTCTGCAGAGGGTATCAGGCTATTATTGACTTGCCACAAAGTTCCTCTGCAAACTATTTTTAGCCTGGAATTTTAGCATCAGACCTGTAACAAACAGCTAAGCTGCTAAAAATGTGTCCAAGCATTCCCTGCTTCCTGCAGCTCCCACGTGTCTCAGGAGCTGTGCCATCCACAAGTTGGTTCTGCAGGTGGCTTGTTCTCCCCCACTGTGCCTGATTACACTCAGATCTGAAATCTCAGCACAATGTTTATTTGCTCCTCCTTCTTGGTTCCAACCTTCATGTTCTGTGGTCCTTTTCCACAAATGGTTGTTAGGTGTTTTACACCACAGCCTTGCATGTTATAGAATGACAAAAGTGTGTATAATATTGGGTTGCAATAAATACACACAGTGTTGTATCTATATAATCAGGCTTCTTTCTTTCTTCTTTTTTTTTCTTTCCTTTTCTTTCTTTCTCTCTTTCTCTCTCCCTTTCTCTCTTTCTTTATCTCTTTTCCCCAGCTAATGTAAGCTTATATAGAATCACAATTGTATGATTTTGCAAGGGGACAAGGGGATGAGGAAATATCTGGTTCCACTGAAAGTAACAGGCATTATATACTTAAATATTTTGGTACCTGGAAGATAAAAGTCTTGCTTCCCTAAAGTTGAGTCTCTACAGAGAATGAATGAATTGGCCAAACCACAAAAAGAAGGAAGGAGGAGGATTGGGTATTCTTTTCTTTATAAGATTACTCCAATAGGGAGAGGCACTGTTACCCCAAAAATGCAAAGTAGCCAATCTTTCTATCCCTTATCCCTCTAGTTTTCAGTATAGACTCCCTGTATGGAGAGAGGAATTTCAGAAGGCAGCCACAGATTGTGAGTTTCATTTCTCAAGCAAAAGGTTCTACTGAGGTATATTAGGACTTGCACTGATGCTACTTCACAGAATACAGAGCTCTAGAGAAATGTGTATCACAAACAGAGCCAATCTTATTGCCACTTCACTTCTAAATAGATTTGTGGTGGGTTTGTATTCCTGAGGACAACACAAGATGAGCTTGGAGCACCAAACAGCCCAAACCTTGCAATGATGATCCAGCTGCACCCATCCACCATATCCATATCTCTGTGGAAGAAAGAAGACACTGCTAGTTAGCACTCTGCAATGACCACAACAATTATTACTACTAGTACTGCTATTATTATTTGCACTTCTTACAGTCCAGCACTATCTCATTCAGGAGAAACACTTACAATGGGCTCAGCTCTGAGCCTGAGTAGCCCCACTGACTTGAGCAGAAGTGCTGAAGTTGAACTGGACCAGACCAATGTTGTTTGTATGTGCAGTTGTAGCTCCCGGTTCAACAACATCTTTAAACAACTGATTCCAAAATGCTTAACGTTGCTTACTACATTGAGGTTCTAACTGGAATGATTTTAACGCAGAAAAAAACCTAAATGAAGTATCTGGCAGTGAGAGAATTGAGCTGACAACTTTGCAATCTGTGATCAGTTAATCATTAGCACAGAGATGCATTGATTCCACTTTTCAGCTTGCATGATTCAGCAGCAGGACTGAAGGTCAGCCTCTTGCCTATTAATATTTAAACAGCCAAGAGTAGCTAAAGAGGAGAAGCTTAGATGCTCATTGATTCTTCCAGAGAGATTCAAAACTGGTCATGCAAAATAGCAAAATAGCAAAACCTACATAAGAATTTCCTTTTACTTTCATGAATCAGCAGATGAGAAATAAATGACATTTTCAAATATCAGACTGGAAACAATGCTCAGAGTTCCTTTTTTTTTTCCATAAAGAAACATTTAAAAGCAAAGTAAGTAAAAGCAGGCATTTCTTTCACTGAGGTGTAAACAGTCTGGATACAATCCTGAATTTCCTGTGATAAATTTATAGGGTTATATATAAAAGTATTGAAATTCGGGGAAAATTTAATGAGTGGCAACTTAAACTAGCTCTGTGTTAATTGCAATTATAAGCTGTCCAGAAAACAAATACCTTAAAGGTGCTGAAGGAGCACAAAGGCAATAGAGAAACTCACTGCTCTGTTTTTGAACTTATTTTCTTCTTTCTTCCCCTCAGTTACTAGCTGGATGCATTGATAGTCCTTGTTTCATTTTTTATATGAAGTTTTGTACTTCTGTTGGGTTCCTAAGCTGCTAAATATGTACCTTGACAATGGAATTTTCTAGGATGAAGGTGCAGTATTTATAAAGCTGGGAGCCAGGAAGAGAAGTTTAGCAGTAAGTAAATGTGAGCACGTCACGACTCCTCCTTGGTTTTCCATGCATGAGATGTGGAGATCTGGGTTAATGGCTTGAATTTTCGGAGGGCTCCAGGGAATTCTGGGAGTTTTCTACTCTGGGCTCATTAACAAACCGCTGAGTTGCTCAGAACAGAGGAACAAAAACCAACAGGTGGAAATGAACTTTTAAAAATTTGGCATTTGCTTCTTTATCTGTGTTTTAAGAAATGCAGCGCTGACCTACAGTGTCTAACGTGAGTGAATTCTGTCTTGATGTGCATCTTTGAACATCAGGGGATTCCTGGGATCATTTTATCCCAGTGAATTTATTGCCCTTTTAAAGTATATACAGACAAGAAACTATATATATATATAAAATCTTTTAAAAATCATATAAAATCAGAATAAAGGCATTTTATAGGTGTTTTTATAAGGTTATTGCACAAGGACAGCACAATCTGAAACAAGCAACAATAATCTGCCCTGTAGTCTGTTTATTTAAACTCCTGTTTATTTAAAACAGACATAATTGTTCTAAAAAGGGCCTGTCTTCCCACCTGAATTATCAAGTGTACCTGTGTTTTACATCAGAAGCTCTTAGTATTACAAACAGGAGGTTCAAACAGATATTTATAAAGACCAGTCTAGATAAACATGGAAACAAACATCCCTTTCCAGGTAGTTTTATGCATAATGATGTTATTTTTCACTCCTAATGAAGAAACAATCCTATGTATGTTTTTAATGACAGGTTTTCTCCTCACTTTTTTTTCTTTTCTAATATGCTGTTAAGATTTTCCAGCTGATGCTGGACTGTCATGTTTAAAATCACAGAAACACAGAGCTAATAGATATGAAACTCTTTCAGATATATTACTTTAAAACATAAATGACACTTGCTGCTCCTAAATACATTTCACAGGATCATGAAAATATGACTGACAAGAATAAATTTATGTCACTGAATAATAAAAACAACAGTAACAATAATGTGCAAAGATTCAAAAGTAAGACAAGTTGAATTACAGCTTCAGTGTTCTGACAACTGAGATTTTGTATCTTAAAAACTATATAATACTTCCTTCCAGTAACTGAAAAAATAACAGATATTAGAAAAATGATCATCATCATCAATTAACTGTACTCAGAGTGACCCCACTCCTACTGAAGTTAATGACTTTCATGCCTGTGGGTATCAGATGTGAATGATTTTTGTCTTAGTTAACATTAATCTTGTCTAATACTTCCCTATTTATTTCATTTAAAACAAACATGAATACCATTTGGGAACAGAACATCTCTATTTTTATCAAGAAAGGGGAATTTACACCTCGTTATTTGACAATTTTAGGTCAAAAAACCCAAGGAAAACGATAAGAATTGCTTCAGACTAAATAAAAAGTGGGGAACATAGCCCAGTTAAGACATCCCTTTCTTACTGAGACTCTTGCTTTGCAGAGTAATGCACACAAATATTTTACAACTGAGAAAAAAATCAAACTAGACAAAGACCTAGAGATATTTCCCACAGAACCCTTCACTCATCTTTCTTTCCAAAACCACATGGGTAGAAATGGTTGCTGATCACGTAAGGCACCGAATATCTAAACACTGATTACCTTTTTCAGGTCAGGCCATTCCTTGGGCAGAATGTGGCTATGAATATCAATTTTCATTTTGGAAGTGTGGCAGGAGAAACCCTCCTTCGGTGCTGATGTTTTCTGTGGAAATGCCACTGTCCCTCCCGTGCCTGGTTCACAGGTTGTTCACTTTGGCTGCTGTCCAGACCCACCTGCTGCCTTACCAGGAGTGCCCGGTACAGTGGCCAACCAGGAGCCCCAAATCCCAGAGGAGTGGCTCTCTAGGCTTCCAGCAGAAGGTCCCTGTTAATGCACAAACTACAGCTGACCGAGGGCAAAGGGAAAATACGTGTTTATGTTGGCACCACAGAGGGATTTGTTTCACACAGAAGCTGAAATGAAAATTTGTAGTTGGAAATCACTCAATAAAATCAAATTAGAATAGATGTATTAAGCATGCTGACTTGAATTTCCTCCTTTCTGCCTCTCAGAGCTGAAATTGTAGAGAACATATAATATAACCCTGGTAGACAGTCACACCTCCTCATCTACTCTGGTTTTTCTCCCCTTGCATTTTCTTTAAAGCTGCATAAAAAACTCCCCACAGAAATACTGAATTGTAGACAAATCTCTGCTCTGCACTTTATTTCCCCCTTCTCATTATTGGTTCTTGTAGGATATTTACACAAGCTGCTGCATAACGTCGCTCACAGCCTTTCAAGCTGGCTCAGTACATAGCAATATATATATATATATAGCAAATATAGCAGTTTCTGTATCCTAAGTTAAGCTTAACTGGAACTATCTCAGATTTTCTGTGAAACTACCTCTCCTCTTTTGCTCTTTACTCAATTTAGAATTACACTTCTTTCCTCAAGATACCCTTGCCCTTTATTTGTGCTTTTCTCTGCAATTTATTTCCTCTAGTTTTATTTCAATGTATTCTACTCACACAGTGACCTCTTGTAAAAGCTGGATAACCTTTTCTTGATTAATTTTTTTGGGGGGTGAAAAATGCTGGCTTTTTTCCAAAACTAAACACTCCTGTGAATCTTGCAACTTCAAATCAAAAAACTTGAAAAACAAGTGGCCCATTTTGTTCCATCTGTTTTCTGACTATACTATTTTGTTTGGGCTTGATTAAAAAAAAAAAAAAAGGACTCTTGTATTTCCCTACTTCTTCACTCATTAAGCAAATCTGCTTTTGATTTGGTCAGATAAATTTCTTGGAGTTATTCTTCAAATCAGCTTCTTGTGATGGGGTTGGTTGGTTGCTTACTGCTCTTCTCTGCATCAGGAATGACTGGGTGTTCAAAAGAGATGGGAAGCAGCGGCTTTGGGAGAGTATTTCCTAAATAAAGCAAGTCAGCCAAAATTTTACTTCAACAGATCAAAACCCTGGGATTGAAAACAGCAATTACTTCCATCTGGAAATCAAAATCAATCTCTCCATGCCCAGGCTGCCAGGTTAGGCAGCAAATTTGCTCTCCTGCTCCCAGATGTGACAGCTCTGCTCTGTGATGTGGCACTACAGTGTCAGCCTGTTGACAAGCAGTGCTCCTGCATGCACTACACCAGGCATCAGACAGCAGTATTGATCCAGCTGTGGGGACTCTGCATGGTGAATCCACAGACGTGAGGCAAACAGTTGAGGTGAGTCCCTCAGTAAAGAGGATTCTGGAAGACAATTCCCTGTTTAAACACAAAAAGCAGAGGTACTGCTGAAGGAGAGGGGCAGGAAGAGCTTTGTGCATCCAAAGAGTCTGAGACACCAAGTTTCTGAAGTGCCCACAGCTGCAGGTGCCATGCAGAGCTCAGCTGCACTGCTCCAGCACTGTGTGTGGTTCCCCTCAGTTCTAAAGGCAGACCTAGCTGTTACTGCTCCCAGGACACAGCTCGGCTTGCAAACAGTGTAGCACTCCCACACTGCATTTCCTTTAGCAAAATACAGCATTTGGAAACCACAGCAGCTGAAGGCAGATTTGTATCCATTTCACTTGATCAAGGGGACAGTAAGACATCCATCTATACCTGACATGATCCACACTGGATCTGCATCAGGAAGACCTTCAGTGGCTACGAACAAAACCATCTCCAGCTACACCAGCACCCAACCTACTCTGAGTGCAGCAGTGTGAGAAACAGGACACCTTCACGGATGTTTTGGACACCCTGTCTGATCACAGTGAGTGACTTCTACCTCTCAGTCTTTATGCTGACTGTGTCCTGGAGCAACACAGCAGCTTTTAGCATGGTCCTTGCTGTCTGTCTCCACCTGGCTGTGCATTTCTGGAGTGTGAGACAGAGGAGCAGGAATTGCTGGCAGTAGCCAGGAGAACGTGCAGCTGTGTCAGATGGCCCTACACAGACAGAGCTGGGCTTGAATCCACTGGGCCATATGTCAGGCAGGAGGTTGTGACCAGATGGAAACTTTTACATGCACAATGTCTGGGGCCACAGAAAACTGTGTTTTATGTTTGTGGGCCCAGGTAAGACATGAACTTCACCCAATCTTGGGCTACCCACAAATACTTTACATTGAGAGGATTTGTATGAGACCATAGAGCTAGTCATGAAAAAAAGAAAAAATAAATAAATCAGTCAATAAATATACTTGCTACATCTGCTCAGCAGAACTAGAATGTAAGAAGACTTCTTAGACAAAAGCAACCTCCATACATTAGGATGGCACACACATTAAGCTGGCATGCCCCCCGGGCTCAGCACACTCCTGCAGGGTATATGTGTCATTAAGATCACTTGCAATAAAACTTGCATTTATTATGGCCATTAGAAACCAAACTGCATCCTTGATTTTGAGCAATTTCATGTATTTATGTTGTGTGTGAGCATTATATGATGTCAATTTGCACAGTTTTAGACTGGGAAACAGGATTAACAGCTCCTCCAGGACAATTTAGCAAGAGACTCTTCAGGCCAAGGCTGATTTCAGATACACAGACACAAGTCTAGCAGATCTACAGCGTTTTATTTCACTGTAGGGACAAGCACTAAAGTGAAAATGGTGTTAGTTGTAGAACATTAGGGGCTCTTTTCCAAGTTATTTAGCTGCTTTTCTGAAACAAGTACAGAATCTGAGATTTGGAATGTTCAGGCTGGAAAGTCAGGGTCCAGGTCTGGCCTTTGCTTATCAGGGTGAAAGTATTTCCTCCTATCAGTGGGAAAACCATAAAAGGTGCATCAACAAACCTTGGTGAGCTCTGCAGACAGCTCTGCCACACACCAAGGCAGCCCATTTTCAAGTGGGATGAATGCAGACACAAAGAGGCAAATTCAGGACACTGATGTTAGAAAGGACTGAAATACCTGTGCCAGTTTTTCATCCCTTCTGTTTTGCATGTTCTTCTCTAGCACCTGTTCTTTGAATTGCACATTTGTTTGTGCAAGCTGACTATTTTACACACCTGCACAGCTCCAGAAAAACAAGTGGAAAACTGTGCTTGGTAGCTCAGATGAACTACTTAAAGAACATGTTCCTTTCCAAATGAAATAAATGTTGAGCAGCACACTTATATTGGTTGCTTAGCAACAGGTTATCCTTTGGCTGTGCTGGGGACTGCACGGGTCCTCTGAGACTGCCATTACAGACCTGCTTGGAAATGTCAGATTTGGAAAGGATGCAAAAGTCAGTAATTCTATTTTTTGTGTGGTATCAAATAATTAAACCTCTCCTATTAAATTAGCCTGATCACAGAACTTAGTCCTCTTCTGGGACTGCAAGGAGCACAGACTTCAGTGGAAGTGGTGTGGTGTCAGTCCTGCAGGGAATAGTAACCATGGGTATGGTTTGCCTTCTAATGAGGAGTAAGGCTGTGCAGTTCCCACGTAGCACTTTCCACAGCAGCTCTCAAGTGCTCTACAGTGGATGCTATTTTTGACAGGAATACATTAGTCTAGCCAGCAGAGCCACACCAGGAGGACATGTCCAGCTACAGGTACCCCAGTAAAGTCCTTCAAGAAGCTGTATCCCAAGGAGTGGGTGGCATTATGATTTGCTGCTCTTAAATGTCATGTACCAAACACTCCAGCGTGACCACTGAAGGTCCTGATGGCTTGGATGGCCAGCTGGGTTGCAACATCAGTGTTTCATTTGTACACATTTGCACAGTGCAATAGAAAAGGGACACACACCTCCAATCTCAGAGCCAGCTAAATCAGCTCAAGGTGGCAGCAGTGCAGGTGTACTCATCATTAAATACTTAAGACAAGTAAGATTATTCACTTTGTTATTAAAAAGCCTTTCCAGAAACAAAGAACTGTAGAAGCTGGTGCTGCTCTGTGTCTTGAGTCAGTTTAGCCTTGCAGACAAGTTGGGCTTTTTAGCTCAGATGACACTGAGCTGATGCTCAGATGACACTGCTGCATCTCTGATGCTTCCAAGATCTAAGGTATTAACCTGGCACAGTGAAGCTTCATGGCTGCACAAGCTCAGGGCGATGCTCACCACGTGGTCTCCTCTTCGAGCTGCCACAGCCTCCCCAGTTGTGTCACTAAAACTGACAGTGTGAAGGTGTCCAAGCTTGCCGACGCCTTTGGCAGCTCTGCCCTGCTCTGTGACTCCAGCCTAGCAAGGGTTCTGATGAATCACACAGTGGTGAAAGCAAACAACTAGTCCTCTGCCAAATTCCTGACCATTACTGTGTTCTCTGCTGCTTAAGTTAAGCCCCAACAAATCCTCATTTATTTTGGGGTTTCTAGAAAATATTACATTGTTGAAATTCAACTAGCATCCTAAGTCTAGAGAAAAATATATGGCTACCTTTCAAGAAACATAATTATTTTCTTAATGCACTACATTTGCAATTCTGCAATTTACAATTGTCATGTGTTTACCTTGCATAGAAATGTTCTATAAAAATTGTTAATTAAATAGATATTTTCTAAAATATGAGTATGAGAAAAATAGAAATTGAATTTTTTCCCATGTGTAGACACAAACAAATAAAAAATATTCTATTTGAGCACATTTCAGGCCAAGTGTCACTTCTGTGCAGTGGGAGCAACCAGACAGATAACAGCAGCAAAAACACGGGCCAGAGAGGACAGATGGAGAGAAGCTTACAGCTACTGATGTCAAAAAGTCTTAATTTTCTAGTTAATACTCCAAGGTAACATCTGAAATGGTTTCAATTATTTAGAAGGCTGGTCCAAATGTCTTAACAACTTTTTTCCTGCTTGCTAGAAA